TGGATAAGGAGACAGAGCTATACCTCCCATAACTGGCTTTAAGCACTGCAGTGGAAACAGGCATCTTTCAACAAGTATAGTCAATCTTGAATCATTGACCACTAATGGCCTGAGTGGCACAGCTGCTACTGCTGCTGCAGTGAGAGTGAGGAGTACATCATTTTCATAATTGCCAAATTGTCATGATCTATAATTACGACTTTCATCTGGAGGGCCCAATCTTAGGATTCAGTGCTAATCATATGGGTAGCCTGACTGTAAATGATTGAGAGAAAACAAGACTGGGAGATAATGTGAGGAAAGGAAATAAAAAGAGTAGGGGAAGGAAATTAATTGAAGAATGCTACAACGAATTAGATCAAATAAGACAAAATCACAAAGGTCCCTCACAGAGGTTAAGATCATCCAGAATAGAAACAAAGCATGATTAACATTTCCCTGAGACAATGCAATAGATTGTCTTCTCGGTGCTGAAACAATGGTGTAGAAAATGATGAAGAAGAGAGAGAGGGACAGTTTATTTTGTGAGTGAAAGACTGCTTTCTCAGACTCCAATCCCATGTGAATAATCCTGCCTGTAAATCCGATGGGATTACCACTGATACTGTGTCAACTCTAATGGATTCCTCTAATTCCAGTGTAAAGAAAAAAACACAGCAGCATAAAGTGTGACAAGAGGATTTGATGACAGAACTGAAGCGTACACAATATAGAGACTGGCTTTGCAAATCTTCCAGTGTACCGTATAGATCCAGCTGAGCCAGCGTCACTTTAAAACACTGTAACTTCCATTTTGAGTATCTTCATATTATGAAACTTGTACTTGTGAAAGTCAAACAAATGACTTTATCAGTGCATGTGGAAGTTAACATTAAAACAAGGTTAACACTGGATGAATAAATAAAAATAATAAAAATAAATATTAGGAGTAGGAGTCATTTTTGAGATGGGAGAGTTCAATCATTCTTCTTACAACTGCACTTTTCTTGCCAAAAATCTCAGAATTTAGTTTCCAAAAGCAAAATTCTAATCTGCTCATTGATCTAAACTTCACCTCGCTGCAGTGCACAATGTGTGATTATCAGCCAACCTCAGCCTGGTGTTCAGCACAGTGGTAACTTTTGGACTGTTGGTCATAAAAAAACAAGCATTTTAAAGAAGCCCGTTTAAGCTTTTAGAAATGACGGTTGAAATTGTTCTAAATTTTCTGACATTTTTTAGAAATAACCTTTATTGATAATGCAAATAATCAGCTCATTAGGAACCCCCATCCAGGTCATGTTCATTTAGATCTTCAGCAGCTCTTCCCCTAATTCACCATCGCCTCCAGCGTTAGATGCATCTTCCTTTATTGCTCGTTGCATTACTTTCCCCTAAAAATGGTGAGATCACTATGGGGTGTAATTACCAAAGAACACATACAGTATATCTGTATCACATGAATTCATATCTGTAAGCAAGACTTTCAATTAGTCTCTATTGATTGAAAGCCCGGCAAGAGTTTGTCAAGCAGAAGCAAGTTATCGGCCAGATGTTTAATGAGGATTCCCATGATTGTCCTTCCTCATGTTATCCAGTATTAAGACACCTTTTCATTCTTCTTTGTGTTCTTTACCGTCTTTGTATCTTTAAGGATCACGTTAGGCCTTGGTGCTGCTGTTTTTATGACTTATAGTTGGATATCTGAGGACGGTGACCGGTTCTCTGGATGCCACTGATGATTGGTGTTATGTGATGATAATTTCCTCCACTTGTTCTTCTAGTACTGTTCAGTTTCAGCTTTTGTTGCCCCTGCTTCCCAACCCCTTTGCATATTTACTTTATCTTACTTTCATCGGAGCGCACGGTCTACAGCTTGCCAAGTGCATCCATTTACCTTGTGTGTTATTGCTGCTACGGCATAATAACGCATTGGTTTTAGTTTTAATAGTTGTGGCAACTGTAAGTAATGCTGCACTGAGTCCTGAGTCCTGAGTGCACTGAGTCCTGCTGTCACATTGTCTGATAGCTTCTCACTGAGTTTTGAGATTTGTCTGATGGTAGTTAACTCTCTTATGTCAGCAGTTGGGCCAATTAATGAGTACGGTGTCAGTGTTCATCTCGTCTTCCTCATTGCACTTCCAGTACCTCCTGGTCCTTATTGTAATATTGACATTTCCTTGGCACGTGATTACAAAGATATGTAGTCAGGCGTCAGGTGTTTTACAGCCGAATCGTAAAGTCTCCTTCACAGTCGCTGCCCCACCATCTGCTCAGCTTCACATGCTGCACAGTTCTGTAAACAGTAGTCTGCAGAACAAACAACGTAGTGATGAACTCAAGTGTTTCACTGTGTTTGCCGTGTTATGTCTCCTGAAAAAAGTGACATTTCGGGACAAGTAACAAATGTTAAGATTGTGGAATGAAGCTGTAACTCATCTGCTTCTTGTTCTAGTTTCAACACAGTCCTGCAAGTGAAATACATCCAGTCACATTAAACTCCCATCATGCATTGCCAGACCCAAGCAAACATACAATAATTAAGTTGAATCATGACATCACATCTAAATTTAAATCTCCAATGAATACTTCCTTTTATTCCATCCATATAGGCAACGTGGATAGCAACATATTTAAAAAAACATGTTCCTCCCATAATCAGAACATTGTAGGTATATGTGAAAGCGCTACACAAGAGGGCTACTATCTTTATGAAAACGTGCACATCTGAGTTGAAATCATAACTCTACCAACCTTACACCAATCCTGTTCATCAGCAAGGGTGGGTAAAAAAATGTATCAATCAAACTAACGAAAATAACAGGCCACACATCTGCCAATGGCTGTGAAAGAGGTAATTTGGCATGAAGATGAGAGGCATTTTAACATTTTCAAAAAGCTCTCTTGCTCACTTATTGCTGTAGTGTGCCAGTGGATAAATCACCACGTGCCAATGGTTGCCTAGCCCTGCTGTAAACCCACAAAATAATGTCAGTGTGTGTTTGTAGGTTTCTGTTCATGTTAGTTTTAAAGTGAGGTTGTGTGTTTTTGTCTCTCAGTGATTTGCTCCCCAGAGGTGTGAATGCCCAATAGTGGGAGTTTTTCCTATAGGAGTAAAAATATTATGACTCCAGGCAAGTGAACGTGACAGAGCAAATCAACGGGGATATGATTTTTAAACTTATATCCTCTTCTTAGAGAGAACTGTTATATTATCATGCCCTGCACTCTTGAAACCATCAGGCATAAATTGCTTCTTCCTACATTAATTATTAAACCCAAACTTTAGACTTTGCTTAATGAGCTCCGAACCAGTCCTCTTTGTGATCTGCCCTCTCATGCCCCAGATGAGAGGAGAAAACTCCTCCATCATCATATAAGAAAATGATGTATTCAACAGTATCGTAATGTTTCAGTATCATACACGTCTCCAATTTTTAATACGGTGTTATTATTAAGTAGGGAGAGGGTATGGCATGATATGAATAGGAGTTGATTTTACATTTTCTGTCTTTAGTCACACCCTGATTGTTAAGGTGCATGTGCAGAGGCATGTGTGTATATGTGTGTGTGTGTGTGTGTGTGTGTGTGTGTGTGTGTGTGTGTGTGTGTGTGTGTGTGAGAGAGAGAGAGGGGAGAGAGGATGGGAGAGAAAACAGTGTCAGTGCGAGAGAGGAAACTGCCTGTGTGAGTGTCCAGACGGACTGGAGGTACATTGTGTGCTCAGAGATACTTTTCATCAGAGCATCGTGATGGTGATTCCCTTTCATTTTGCAGAGCATCTCTCACATCAGTCAGCTACTTAAAGCAAAAAAAATGCAACACTCTCACTCTCTCTGCGAACAGAGCCTCAGATGGGTTCCTGAAAAGCTTGAGAGCACAGAGGACAGGCCTATTTTTTCCAACTTGAAATGGACTTAATGCCTGGGCTGCTCCTCCTCACCAGCAGCCACTAATGGCAAAAGCAGCATCTTCTCATGTTATTCAAATTGAATTCCTTCTTTAAAGTGAAGAAGGTCAGACAGAAGGGTGCAAAAAGAAATGATGAAGATTATTGTCCACAAAGGGCCAATTAGAACATGAATATGTGCATACTCACTTGCATCTCCTTAAGCATACCAAATTGCTACAACACGTTTTTCATTGCCTCCCGCAAAAAGCCCAAAAGGCGTATTACCTATAACCAATATCACCATGTTACTCCTGCCCTATATTTGATTAATGGATTCAGCTGCATGTGCCACAACTGTGCTGGGTTGGAAGAAAACAACTGTAATATAATGTCAGCACCATGGCCAGTCAACCAGGGACTTCTCTCCTAGACCAGCGTAGTATAGAATCATATATGGGAATTCAAGCCTTATGATTAAATTAAATATGCTGTATATAAGCTCCTCATCTGCAAAACCATTAAACAGTTATAACAAAACACTAACTCAACAAAAAGACCCTGTAACATTCATATTATTATTATTTTAGAAATCAGGAAAAGCTAATGAACCAATTTGTAAAGTTACGTTAAGCTGCAATCAATAAAGTAAAATGAGCGTTTTTTAAATATAAAATAACGGTAATATGGTTAAATTATTGTATATATTGGGTTTTTAAAACATAATGTGATTCCTGCATCCTCCAGCTGTTTACTCACCCTGTAAATCACACACACACTGGGGGCTTCATGCAGGTTATGACTTGTTTTTTTCCTCCTGTCTTGCACTTCCTAACACGTTTAAATCCATGAAGCTATTGTTACTTCCCCTTTAGGGACTAGTATATTGAATCTAGTGACCTTCTCATAGCCTATTGTATGACATCATCTTGTGTGTGGGATTTTGTCTTGTTGTTTGATCTCTATAACAGCCTATTTGAACCTGCAATGTTTGCGATAGTTCAGCTCTTGCAAGTAAATTATTAAATTCCACTCCACTGCGCTCTCAGATCCGTGCGTAATGGTAGCGAACACGTACAGATGGTGTTTATTTATTTATAATTTAAAAAAAGAAAAGATCGTAAAAACTTACCATGTTTTTTCCTCATTTGACGAATTTCTCTCCACTCTTCTTTAAGAGATGCGGAGTACAAAAGCGATCCGAGAATCCCAGCAGCGCTGTCCCTCATTTACACACGTCCAGTACAAACAAGCATACAGCCTGGTTACACAGGGAAGCAGCGGGCGGCTTCAGCTTCAGTAGATGTTGCTGCTGAGATTGCTTCACATCTCATCTGAAAGGTAGAGCGTGTCGGTCTGCAGATATACAAACACAGTAAAACAAGTTGTTTCAGGTTTCCAGAAAAACTTGAAGCGACTCAAAATGATGACGTTCAGCTTCAAAAAATGTCTTTTTCCAGAGTTCAAGCGCCAGAATGTGTAGAAGGTGTAGAAAGCGTGTTGCCGGCGGAGCTCCATCTGATGCAGCTCATTGTGAGTTTTCTTCAGCAACAATTAAGCCCCCGCCGGGGATGACATGGGGGCTTCCCGGTGCTGAAGCGATCAGCTCCGCTCCGCAGGAGATCACGCAGTCGTCAACAAGTTGCATTAAAATCTGCGTTTCTGGGAGGTTTTGATGGGACTGGGTGTTCTGTGCGCCCAACACACATCGCCAGTGGATTTAATAGACGGCAACCACAGGCGTGTGTTTGCAAGTAATTCCGTGGGTATCTCTGACAGTCCATTTCTTCTTACTGTATAGGGAAGAGGTTCTCAACATAGGGTGCAGGGATCTCCAGAGGCCCCTGGCAGTTTAAGATGGTCCCACAGCAAAATGCAAAATGATCACCTTAAATGCTGTTGAAGTCACTTGTAAATATGTATGATCATTTCTTAATTTGGGAAACTATTTTGACTAAATCCGTCTGAGATTGAATGAGTTCTGAGATAATCCCAGACTTTCATTTTAGTCCTGTATTTAAAAGGAATACAGCACCCAAAATCAGTCTTTAGGGAATCAAACTCTGACCCCATGGAGACTTAAAGCGTGGTTGTCAAATGTGATCAGCTTGGATTCAAAGCAGGATTTCTTTGAAACTTCTCAAAGCAGGATAATGCCCATACTCAGTATAATTTAGCCTACTGCTTCTGTCTAAATCTGCACCAACAAACCTTCGTTGAGCTCATTGCATGCATTGGTATCATTAAAATTTCATGATTTCTGAACCCTTGTCCACATACATTACACTTTTATGTCGATACAGTCTTGATGGGATTTCCGCTGTTATGCTGAAGCTGCATACATTGGGCTTGCATAGTTTTACAGTGAAAGTGCATGCGTCAGTAACACACATACGCACTGTTGCAATGCAGCATGATTACACATTAGTAGCAGTCTGTCTCAGAGCTCATTTTGATATAAAAATAAAGATTTAAAATAGTATCTTCAGAAGAAGACTAAATCACAAATGGATGTAGATTAAGATAGTCTTTGTGGTATATTTTAAATATTAACTCTATTCAGGCTGTTTGAGCACATGCCACGGATTTAAGCAGAGTGCGGAAAACTGCAACTTTCAGCTGATATTCCTTCCTCTTCTTCTTGCGGTGGGGGCTGTTTATGAGACTGCAGAAAACTGGTTGTTGCCATGCAGCTTGCCACTTATTTCCAAAAGTTGAGGGAAACACCTGCAGCGAGAAACCTTAGACATGTCATTGATGATAAACCCACATCCCAGCCTTTCTTATATTGTCTACACCACACTGCAGGGATTGTACTGAGATTTCAGCAAATGAGCAACAATAGCAGCTGCCATAAGAAAACTATTATGACCCCTGGGGAAGACTTTGACAGATTTTTCTGAAAAACATGGCTGAAATTGTGGATTAAACATCTGAGTTAAGCACTAATAGTACATGTTTCCAACATAGACTGGCAAGAGAAAGACACCAGTTGAAGCTGAAGGAAAATGACAAAAAAAAGTCCCTTAAAGTCTCCTAAATAATGGCATTGCCTTTATTCAGCATTATGTCACCGTTTCTTCTGTTTTCCCTCAATCATTTTTCAAAGAGATGCACAACTCAGTCTGTTATTGACAACACTGTTAAAAATTATTATGTCTGTTAGCAACCACCTTCCTTCAAACAGATATTTTCCATTAACTCTCATACTACTCTGATTCTCGTGGATATCAGTGAATTAATCTCAAGAGAGTTCCCTGAAAAGCTCCACTTTTAAGTAAGAACAAAGTGCCTTAAAATTATTTTACATGCTCCACACTAATTCACATAAAGAACGGTCTCGTTAGTTCATTAAATGCTTTGATTAAACTGCTTTTTCTCTGTCTTCTGTATATTTTATCATTAATTGAATCAATAGCAGCTCCTTGAAATCTAATTAACAGGCTCTTCATGTATAGAAAACGTTAATCAAGAAATGGAGCACATCACTTTCACACATGTAGGCACACACACACACACACACACACACACACACACACACACACACTTTAAGGGCTGTTTTAAGTGGAAATAAAAACTGCTGGACTTAGAATTGAAAGATTTGTCTTTGATCCCATCGTCTCCATCCTCGGGAAATGGAGCACCCACGTGGGAATGAAATACAGTGCAGAGTTGTTTTGGCAGTTTAGCTCTTTGAAATACCTCTCTCTAAATCAAGGGTCAAAAATGTGTCTGTGTTGAGTTTTTCTTTTCAGTGTTGCGATGTTCTGATATTTCACTTAAAGGTTCAACTGATGAATTCTTAAATATTTTTTAGTTTTATTCTTATTATGCAGAAAATTGTGTCGTTTGCAACACTTTGTTGAACTACGATGCAAGAAGAGGCCATTTGAAGTTTTGAACGTTTTTCTCTCCAGTAAACACTGGACAGGTCAACTAGTGAGTACCAAAAGACAAAAAATAAATCACATGTGGTTTGATCCTTTTTTAGACCTGACAGCGACCTCTCCATACAGGTGTGTATGAGACAGAATTATACATTCATTACAAGTCACTTTTGTATTAACCATCAAATTATGTGGCACTTAATTTATGACCAGATAGACTTATAGTAATAATAATAATAATAATAATAATAACAATAATATGTAATAATAGCATTAAGTTAATTCAACCTCAGTGTTAGTACAAAATATGTTTGTAGCACTTTATAATAACTACACACTATGAAGCATTAGTTAAGTATGAGTAAACACTTAATTCATCATTTATAAAGCATTGTTCCTACATTAATAATTCATTAGTATGCAGTTCATAACAACAGTTGTAAATGTTTTATTCTTGATTAATAAGCCGATTAATGATTAATGGCTGAGAGGTTTGTATTTAACAGTATATTGTTTGCATCTTGCAATAAATATTAATATGTTTTTGATCACTTTGTATTGTGTCTATTTGCCTGTTCTGTTCAAAAACTGTGTTTTGTGGCACTGCTGGCCTTTCAATGTCATTTATAAATGCTTTATAAGGCATAAATAGTCCTCACTTTAGATGAGGTCACATAAAACACTTTACTAACGAGTAGTAACTACCTTAATAGATCATGAATTAATCATGAATTGCAGTATTAATATGCATTTATAAAGAATATATTAACATAGTAGCTAACCATTATATATATATATTAATGCATGAATAATGTACATCTAAATAAGCTATTTAGATGTATTTAGTTAACACTTTATAAATGATCTTATTAATCATCTACAACTCCTTAATAATTGGTTTGTAAAATATATAATACTTCATTTACAAATGGGGAATCCATCATTTATAAAGTATGAAAACACAATAATGAAACACATAATAGACCGGCTTATTAATCAAGAATAAAACATTTATAACTGTAAATTTATGAACTGCATACTAATGAATTATTAATGTAGGAACAATGCTTTATAAATGATGAATTAAGTGTTTACTCATACTTAACTAATGCTTCATAGTGTGTAGTTATTATAAAGTGCTACCAATATGTTTGTAAAAGGTACTCACTGGTAAACATGGATGTCATGTCATGTTATTCAATACCATTTTTTCCAGCCACAGGTCACAAACCAGCCTTTTTAGAGTATAGTTACACATTAAACAATACATATTTACATCCCTCTAAGTGAAACTCGGAGGTGCTGCACCACATCTTTCTGAGTATGAGTATTTTATGCCTTTGATATTGAGTTGACTTAAGAGAGATGACAGCAGGAGATGAGGGGAAATAGAGATGCAACATAAAGAGATACAATTCATGGTCAGCTCCTAAAGCCCCTCGGTAACACCCAGCGTTACATCTTTCAACAGGACTGAGTGGGTTGGTCGGTTCTTCTGCTTCAACTTTAGAAAAATGACTGTTTTTATCATTTTAAATTCCAGACCACCACTGATTTTTATCAAAGTGCTCGGACAGTTTAATGAAACTTACTAAAGAACTGAATAATCTTTGTGAGAAAGAAATGAAAGCTTGAAGAATGCAAACAAAACGTTTCCACTCAAATACCATAAACAGTGAAAACACCAGATGACTATAAACAGATGCCAGATGCTATACTGTGCAGTCAGAGTTTATTACTCTCTTTCTCTCAGGGAGCCGTTGCATTAATGGTTACAGTGAGACTCCAATAAATTCGATCACATCCTTATTTGACAGTTATATGACTTAGTGCAAAGTGAAGCAGGATGAGTGTGCACATTATAGTCAGATTTATCAAGAACGAAATAGATTTCTTTATTGCCTCTCCAATTCAAACACTTAAAAGATCAAAATACAGAAAATAAAGGCATTATTGTATTATCTACATATCCATAAGGCAAAAACACATACCTCAAGGCTCAATAGTTTATAATAACCATGTATCTTCAAACATAAAACACATTAAAGCTTTTTTTAAATTAAACTTTAAGCTGAAATCCAGAACTTTAAAAATGTCTACCTCTGAAACCTGCAGTTCATATGGATCATTGCAAAAGTATTTTCAACAGCACTGATAGATATTAATATTCAAAACATGGATAGCTGCTTCAGAGAATAACTTCGGTATTTATTCCCAAGTTTTTGTGTCTAAGTGACTAATGGGGACAAATATTGTCGAAAAACAAAAAAACGATCTGTCACCCAAAAGACCACAGTTTGTTCCCCGTGTGAACCGAGAAGTCAGAGTAAGTCAGTAATGGTACTTTTGTATTTATTTTAACCCAAACAACGATCTTTTTCCAAACCTAACTATGTAGTTATGTTTCCTAAACCTAACCAAGTTTTGTTGCATAAACCTAAGCTGAAACTAAGTTGTTTCCTGTATAGACAGACGTTTATTTTACAAAGAATGTATGCATGTAATGAGGGGAAATTGGCATGTATTGCTGGCTTTAGTAGGAAAACGCACACAAAATGAGGAGTAACTTTTTGTAATCAGGATATGAGGATACGTTGTTTCTTTACCTTTGGTTTTTTTCTTCTTAATGTGTCATGTGACTTGTTGACGGAAGACAGTGGCGGAAACGTGAGCGAGAGTTGGAGAGAATCTTGTCAAGAGTTTGTTGTGTTGAAGTAAAGATAAGTATAGCTTAATGTTTTCAATGTCATAACTTAGTACTAAGCTCCTACAATACTGAACCAATTTCAGAAATTCTTGTCCCCATTAGTTACTTAGACAAAGAAAACGTGG